TGCAAGGACAGTAACCTTGATGTCTGCTGATTCTCAATCTCATGTGCTGACACAAAAACCCGTATCATTAACCAGGAAAATATTAACACATGCAGCTTCATATACTCTATTTATTTTTTCTTATTAAAAAAAAACATATCTCATCTTTAAAATATAACAATTAGTTGAAAAAAACCCCAAACAACAACAGCTGAACTCTGTGGTGGTTACATGCAAGATTAACCTCTTTCTCATAGTATTCCCTTATCAGTATCAACTTCTCCACCCCACAGCTTAAAAGACTGCAAATGGAAGCAGCAGACAAAACAAAGCATACCTTGAAATGTACCCTGCAAATGAAGGAAGCAGTGAATGCTGTCAACTGTGTTTTAATTTTTGTTTGCTATTTTGATTCTGCATAATCACCAAGAAATTAAGACAATCACTAGAATTAACAGTGCCTAACCAAAAATATGCTTCCTTGCTAAACTGAAAGACATATTATCATCACAGATTGTAAAATATATTACAAGTACTCATTGGCTCAGAGAACAAATAGAGTTCTCTCCTGGGAGAACAGGGGATTCCCCAGAAGCAAAAAATTGTGTGAAATTACTGCATTACCCAGTTTTTAGTGGAGAAACACAGGGAGACTATAGAAAGTCTCCTACAGAGACATGGAAGATTTTGGAATCAAAGTGTCTGAAGTAATTTGTTAATGTCACCAAACAACCAACCAGATTCTTCTTATATATGAGAGGTCAAAAGATTTTAAGACAACCAGATACCTGAAGATGTGATCTACAAACACACACATATTTGCATTAGTGCACACATGTGTGTGTTGGAGAGAATCGCGAAACAACATTAAGTTTTTTTTAAACCAACTTCCCCTTACCAGTTGGCCTCCTTTCATTCCTTTTCCAAGGGGTTCCAAAAGCATCCTTGCTTCAGACTCCAATGCTTTCAGCTAGTGGTGACTGGTTTCTCACACACGAAGAATGTAACTACATGAGTCTTATGTTCCCGTTAATACAATTGATTCCCATTTGCTCCATTCAAAGCTCATCTTGTTTGGTTTTAACTACTTCTTATGGCCCAGATTCAACAACTGAAACTTCCACCTCTTATGCTAACTCCACTTATTTACATTACACCTATTGGACTGTAGTCACTCCTGATTTCCAGACACAGAGCTCAGGGCTTGCCTGCACAAGAAAGAATAATTTATTTTAATTTAAGGTTGGCACTTTTTTTCCTGAGGAATTGACTCAAGCAAAACTGATGTAAAACAGACTGAAATATCTGTTTGGACTTCTGCATTTAGTTAGCTTATCTGGTATAAAAAGCAGATCTGTGCTTTTTAGTCTCTGATGAAAATTACTCTTTCCTTTCCACACTTGTCTGCTACTGACTTTCCTTCTTTCTTTATAAAAGAGGTGTCTAAACTGTTGTGCACATTACACTCATGCCTGCTGCCATGAAACATTCAAAACTTAACTGAGCCACAGCTTCTGGGTCTCACTGCTCTTACACAGCCAGCACAGCAATGGACCCCTGGCCTCCATAAAACCTGTGTGAACAGTCAGGAGCTACCGCAGCCACCCCTCATGCTCAACAATAATGAACAGCTCTGCTGTCCCCACAAAGACCTTGCACTTCTGGTTCAGTACACAGGAAGAGCACCAAGACATGGTAAGGTAGGAAGAACAGGGTTAAGCAGATTCATGCATATAGGGGAAGCCAAGGTTCCACTCTGTCTTTGCTGGAAATTATGGTTGATAATTTGGGGATGTGGAGGAGAAAGGATGTGACTGAAGTCTGAAATTAAGAGTAAGCTTCTATGGATGCATTAATAGATGAGGAAGGTTAAATGTAAGCATTCAGCTGCAATTCTAGCTTGAAAGATGGGAACATGCAGCAGGGAAACTGGAAGAAGAGCCATAGATGAAGCTCTTGTTTTGCATGGTTACAAAAGCATATGACCCTGGATACCAGAAGTGACTGATGATGATGATGATCATACACCCACTAATTAGGTTTGGAAACTCCTGATCTGTGCTATCGCACCATCATTTCTGCAAATGTGTCTCTTTTTGGATCCTAATATAGTAACTGTTTTCTTGCATCTTTGTACCATCTATTTTCTATTGTCAGTCAAAAAAATGTTGTCTTGCCTTTCCTTCTGCTTTCACATATAGCACTGATCTAATATTTAAATTAATACACTTAATGGTAGGCTTATCATAAGCAGTCCATTTTTAGTATTTAAGGGTATCTCACAATGACTTGTAGAAAATGATCAACAAAATTAACCTACTTAATAGAAGAATAATTTAAGAGTAACTTTCTGTTCTACACTCAAGGTTTAAAACCCAAAAGTTTTCTTTAGACAATATTTTATTTGATTTTATGCCTTATTTGAAATTTGATTAACATACACACATATACACAAACTCAAAATTTCAAATGCATTCAGTACACAGAGAAAAATAACAGACAGTTGTTCTTAAATTGTTTAAATCTCACTCTGGAGTCTGGTTTGCTAAAGAAAACCTTCTAGAGGCTAAAAGTGACATTTGGAGGCTTACCTCATAATATGTCACCAAAAGATGCCATATCCAAAGGCATCCATGTGTACATGCATAAATAAATTATTACGTACTCTGTTTTATGATAAGTCACATACATAAACCAAACAACACTGGGTCTACACAAGTATGTATCTACCAATGAGAGAGTAAAAACCCAAAATTTCAGTATGAATTGTACAATATAGCTACATTATTTTATATATTAATATATTTATAAATACATATTTTATACATATATGTACATATACATATATATTTATATATGTACAATACACATAATAAAATTATTGTATTGTATATATTAAATCAATATATGTAGAAAACCTACCCAAACAATCCAAATCAATACTATAAAAGAGTGGACACCAGTGAAACTGGTGATTGAAACATACTACTGCTACAGCTACTTAAATGTTTGTAGAATTTGGAATTAAATTAACTGGTAAAATTCATTTCTATGATCAAAACTGATCTCAACTACGTTATCTTTAAGGCATAAAAATACTGGAAAAGCAGTCCTACCCTTTCAAAAACAAAGCAAAGAAAAAATCCTCCCCGTTTCATGTCACTGGCACAACTTGACAATAATGCATTGATCAGGGCATACAAAGTTTACAAACCTGTTGTAAAAATTTTGTTATGACCACAACAACAACACTGGGTCTACAGAAGATTTCTATTAATAAGATATTTCAGAGATAAAATGTCAGCCTTTATTTCAGTCTCAATCTTCAACTGGACAGATTCCGAGCATCAGCTTTGATGAAGGAGAATTATACTTGGCCTTCTGCCAAACTCCTCTGTAGCCATAGCATCTTGGTGTGCCTGAAGTAGGAACAGGATACATTCTACTCCAGCTCTGCCAATCTGCTGGGCAGTTCAGTGCATACTTATAATCTAATTAAAAGGTAGCTCCATCCCTGGGGTTCCAACCATGAGCCCAAAATTAAGCACACCTGTTCTGTTGAATGTCCACATACAAGGACTCCTAAAGTGGACTCTAAATAAATATACCAGAAAAGTGTGTCAGATAATCCAGTAAAAGCCTATATTCATAAAGCCATTATTCTCTGGTTTTCACCTCCCTATCACAAGACATGCTTAGCCCAATTTAGCAGCTGTGCTTACACTTGTATCAATTTCTGAGGTCAATGAAATGTGTCACAGACTATATCCAACAGTAATCATGATCTTTAGTCAACATTAATTCTAACCATGCTTTCCTCCATTAAGACAGTCAATAAACTGCTTTTTCAACCCTGTTTTTCAGCATCATAATTATTCTTTAGTATTATACTGCTTTGCGTACAAACTAGCTAGATTTTGAAGAAATGCATTCTAAAGTATTTCTGATCATACAGAAACTAGTCTTCCCAATCATAGGCACCTTTCCTCCATCCTCCCACATATAACTCAAAAATAACTACAGTTCACACACCAGATGTAGAATGACGACTTATGGGCTCAGTTTCCAATTCTATCAAAGGCTCGTTTTAAGATTTTGGGCACGTGATTATTTTTTCTGTTTAATTACTCATGTGCAGAAGGAACACAAGTCAACTTTTTGTTCCATGTGTGTTGTAGGGATTTACCCACACCTATGAAGTATACAAATGCCATATTAAGAGTTACTTAAACACGCAAGAGGACAAGCAAACAGGCTAAGAAGCCTGGAGATGCTGCAGAACAATCCTCACAGTAGGAGGATTTCGCAGGCCTTGAGCAGAAAGTCAACTGAGAGCAATTATTACCTTCACAGTAAGGACTAATCACGCCGTTTATACCAACCCAAAAAGCACTCCTGTCCTCTGTACAGACACTGTACAAGTTCCACTATTTTCACTGAGTACCCAATCTAACAGCCTTCACAGATAAACAAAAGTACAAGACAGACACGAGATTTCTCGTCTCTCTAATATTTCCTTGTGGAACACAAATTAAAACCCCAACCTAGCCAAATCTGTACAGCAGAGAGCCCACGCACGGCAGAAACCACGGCAGGGAATATGGCCCCTTTCCTATACCCCGACTTGACTTTCACTTTTCGGCTCGCTATAGCGCTGCGGAGCCGGCGCCAGCCGTGCCACCGGGAGGAGCCGGGAGGACTGGGGAGGGGATGGTGGGGGGTGTGCCCGGGCCTCAGGCCGCGGGTCCTCAGGTTCCAGCCCCCGCCTGTCCCGTCCCACCCCTCCACGCACCATCGTTCCATCCATCCGTCCGTCCGTCCTTCCATCCCTCCATCCCTCCCTCCCTCCCTCCCTCCATCCACCCATCACCGGATGGAGCGGAAGCGGCAGCCCCACGGCCGGGACCCCACGGCTTCCCGCCCAACGGCGGCGCGGAGGCCCCTGACAACGGCCAGGGAACCCGGCGGCGGCTACCGCGGATGGGACGTGCTAGCCCGCCCCTCGCAGCCCGTACACCTACCCACACCATCCCAGAGCCCGGCGGCAGGGGATTGGCGAGGGAGCGGCCCGACCTCTCCCTCCGCAGCCCCGGCGGCGCCGCTGCGGCCCCCGAAATGGCTGAACAAAGGGAGCCTCGCGCGGCCGCCGCCGCCCCTCGATTGGCCGCAGGGCGGGGCCGGGGGCGGGGGCGCCGCTGCCCCGGTCACCCCGGCAACGGCAACGGCGGGCGGGGGCGAGGCGGCTGTGAAATGGCCGTTCAGAGCCCACTGCCCGAGGTCCCCCGCAAAAACGGAATCACAGAATATGCTGAGTTGAAAGGGAACCACAAGGATCATCGAGTCCAACCCTCATCCCTTCAGAGAGATTCACACCGTGCCTGAGAGTATCATTCAAATGCTTCCATGTCAGGCTTGGTGCTCTGACCAATCCCTGGGGACCCTGTTCCTGGATTCAGCCACCCTCTGGGTGAAGAACACTTTTTCTAATATCCAGCCTAAACCTCCCCTGACACAACTTCAGGCCATTCCCTCAGGTCCTGTCACTGGTCACCACAGAGAAGAGATCAGTGCCTGCTTCTCCCCCTCATAAGGAAACTGTAGACTGCGGTGAGGTCTCTCCTCAGTCTGCTCGAGGCTGAACAGAGCAAGTGAACTCAGCCGCTCCTCACACAGCTTCCCCTCAAGGCCCATCACCATCTTCTCTGCCCTCCTTTGGACACTCTCTAAGAGCTCTATATCCTTCTTATATTGTGGTGCCCAAAACTGCCCACAGTATTCAAGGTGAGGTCACCTCAGTGCAGAGCAGAGCGGGACAGTCCCCTCCTTTGACTGGCTGGTGATGCTTTGCCTGATGCCCCCCAGGACACAGTTGGCCCTCCTGGCTGCCAGGGCACTGCTGACTCATATTCTTGTCTTCGACCAGGACCTCCAGGTCCCTTTCCATGACACTGCTTTCCAGCTTCTCATTCCTCAGTCTGTAGATATATCTGGAGTTGCCCCATCCCAGATGCAGAATCCGGCACCTTCCCTTGCTGAACTTCATATAGTTGGTGATTGCCCAGTCCCTTGATTCGTCGAGGTCTCTCTGCAGGGTCTCCCTGCCTTCAAGGGAGTCAGTAGCTCCTCCGAGTTTTGTGTCATCTGCAAACTTACTTAGTATCCCTTCCAGTCCTCCATCTAAGTCATTTATGAAGGTGTTGAAGAGCACAGGGCCCAAGATGGAGCCCTGTAGAACCCCACTAGTGACAGGTTGCCAGTCTGATGTCACCCTATTCACTATTACCCCCTGTGTCTGACCTGTGAGCCAATTGCTCACCCACCACATCATGTGTTTATCCAGCTGTGTGCTGGACGTTTTGTCCTGTGAGAGATGGTATCAAAAGCTTTACTGAAATCCAGAAAGGTTACATCAACTGCTTTCCCTTGATGAACTAGGTAGGTTACCTTGTCCTAGAAGGAAATCTGGTTTGATAAGCAGTACTTTTCTCTCATGAAGCCATGGTGGCTGTGACCAATGATTGCATTGTCTTTCAGACCTCCTAGAATAATTGTCTCTGTAACTTTACAAGGCACAGAAGTGAGACTGATGGGTCTGTAATTTCCAGGGTTCTCCTCCTTGTCCTTTTTGTAAATTGGGACAATGTTTACCAGCTTCCAGTCATCTGGGACCTCACTGGAATCCCAAGTCTGCTCAAAAACCATCGAGAGAGGTTTTGCAATTACATCGGCCAGCTCTTTGTGGATTCTTGGATGAATCCCATCAAGCCCCATAGATTTTCAGGGATCCAGCTGGAGCAGCAGGTCCCACACAATTGCGGGTTTGACTGGGATTCTCTGAGTTGATCATTCTCACAGTCATGGTCCTCCAGCTCAGGGCACTGAGACCTGTCATCTGTGTTGAAGACAGAGGCAAAAGAAGCAGTAAACATCTCTGCCTTGTCTCTGTCCCTCTTTGGGAGATGACCATCCTCATCCTGGATTGGGCCAATGATATTTCTGTATTGCCTATTGCCATTAATGTATTTGAAAAAACTTTTTATAGTCCCCACATTTCTGACCAGATGCAACTTGATTTGGGCTTTGGCCACAAGAATTTTCTCTCTACAACAGCAAATTGCATCTCTGAATTCTCCCAGGACCTTGCTTCTGCTGGGCATACACATTCCTTTTGTGCCTTATTTCCAAGAGAAGATTTCTGTTCAGCCAAGGTGGCTTTCTGCGTCACATGGGTGACTGACATTTGGGAATTGCCTGCTCTTGTGCTCTTAGGAGGTGATGTTTGAAAAGTGACCAGCACTGATTATTAATTCCCTGAGCAGCTTGAAGTCTGCTCTCCTCATGTCCAGAGTAGAGGTTTTGCTGGAACCCTTCCCCCTGGGCTCCACTATGCTCCCGAGGCTGGAATCCTCTCCCCACACCCCCTTACACTCTCAACCCTCCAGCACAGCAGATCCAAAGGAGGTGTCTGACACATGTGCCAAAAATCATAAAAAGTCAAAAATGAAGCTACAGGCTAGACAGCAAAGGTACAGAACCCTGGATTTCATCTTAGGTAGCCAATGCAAGCGCACAGGCAGGGTCTTCCCAGACTTCTCTGAGAATGAATGAATTGAGAGCAACCCTGTGGAGAGAGACTTGGTGATATTGGTGTATGAAAAGCTGGACATGAGCTGTCAGTGTGCATTTGCAGCCCAGAAAGACTGTTGTATACTGGGCTGCATCAAAAGACATAAGGGCCAGCAGGCTGAAGGAGGTGATTCTCCTCCTCTGGCTTCTGCATTCAGCTCTAGAGTCCTCACCACAGGAAAGATACGGACCTGCTAGAGCAGGTCCAGACGAGGGCTGCAAAGACAGTCAGAGAATGCCTCTCCTATGAAGACAGCCTGAGAGGGCTGGGTTGCTCAGCCTGGAGAAGAGAAGGCTCTAGGGAGACCAGAACTGTATACCCATAATATGTCCATTATCTATTCCAACTCATAAATTTGATGATTTTTGTGGGATGCCTTATGGTCTTGCAATTACTAATATTTCAGTACTATGTCTACATCTCCTTAGGCTGCTAGATCTATACGTGCACATTCAAAAGGCTTCTCCCTCTGTTGAAACTCCTACCCACACAGTCCAATTAAAAACCTGTTATTTTTCTCAAGTATTATTTTGCTGTGTAATGTTCTGAGCAGATTGTAATGTAGTTATAGGCTGTATTTAGTTACACTGACTTATATCCTAATACTTACACCTACAACAATCACTGTATATTCACATTCTCAACAAAACCCAATCTTTCAGCTAACAGGAAAGTAGGTGGGTAGGGCTGTATCTTTCAGTTCAGCCTTCCTGAGTACAGAGACATATGTCCTATAGCTCACCTCAAGATTTGCCAGCAGTCTACTGGCAAAATCCTGGCCTGCTTTCCTCACAAAAAGATTCTGTGTGATTCTGTCTGTCTGGATGCCCAATCCTCTGCTATTCTTTTCCTGACAATTTTCCACCTGTTGGTCAACAGCAGTCAAATCTGACTGACAGGTGGATGTCTTCAAAAGATAATGACATTCACATCCTATGACAGAAAGCAGGGAGCCAGGTATAGGGGAGGGACTGTCGGAAACAGTAGAAGGAAAGGACAGTTTCTGCCTGTTTGATATCCTGCCGATACATCAATACCAGCATACTGGTTAGTCCACCCCATGCATGTAATTTAAAATGAGACTTGTAATACTGTTTCAGGCCCTGCTGTCTGCCCAAATATGTGAGAAGGAGCTCATGGTAACACAGGTTAAATGGGTATGGGGGGAGAACTAGAAGTACTCAAGTTATGGTGCATGTCCTGGTACCTGATACAGGCATTTTAAACCAGTTCATAGTACAAGAAAGCTCCTAAAGTAGCATGGTCAGCTACTCAAGTATTCCCGCTAAGAGGGACAGAAAAGCCAGTGTGGACACACCACCACTGTACTTTACAATCTCCAATTGTAGAACAACCTTTTTGGTGGCCATCGCAATTAAAATGATCCAGGCCCAGTGTATCCTTCTGCTGGCTAGAGACCAAGGGATCGAAGAATGGAAGATGATAGTTACCTTTGCCTGACATTAACCATATTTAAGCTAAATACAGACTACTAACTTTTTGACAACATTCTTTAGTTTTCTTTGGTTTATTAAAATTAAATACTACAAGGAAGCAGTGCATTTCCACTTAACTAGGTCCCATTGAAGTGCACTTTTCATTGATACCCCAGGGCTTCTGTACTTAAACAAAGACAATAAAACTATATTTTATGTATACAATTTGCTCTAATGATAGACTGCAGCACAGTAGCAATAGTTTTGCTTTCCGTACCCACTTAACATCATCTGTCAAAGACATCTTCCATACAAAGGAAGGTTCTTCACTAGTAGTCCATTTCACGTGCTACTGATTTTCTATCAGCCATAAGTCACAAAACCCCAAGGTTATATATGCTCAGGTTCAGGTGGGAATGCCCAGTACCTCCCCAAGGGGGGGTGTTTCACAATGGGTGATTTAGCTCTGTGAGTCATGGGATATTTTTGGAGTCTTTGATGGTCTAGGTCTTTGCAGCTTCCTTTTATGCCAGTCCAGTATGGCCCATTAGCGGAGGTGACCCCTCAGGCTGGATATGAAGGTGCTAATGCCTCCCCAGAGGGAGTTATCACAGCTGAGTCATTAGTGTGAAAACAAAGAAACACTCCTTGAAGAGTTCTTTAACACCCAGCTTGTAGCTTGAGCTGTCAGGTGTGCCTCGGGCAGCTGATACAAAATGATCCATTATTAACAAATGATCCATTATTGACAATCCATCAGAAATTACATAGAGGGTGTAGAATACACAGTTTAGGTTTTACCCACATAGTAGGTACTGGCCCCTGTAACTAGGACAGTGCTAAACAATTCCTAGGTTTATCTGAAGCCCGCTTAAACATGTCTGCATTGCAGTGATGGTGCATTACACAGACACTGATTTAAATTTTCTTTTCATTTCAGGCTGCAATTCTCTCCGTGTGACTGCAGTTTTGTTTTTTTGGGTTTTTTTTTGGTTTTTTGGGTTTTTTTTTGTTTGTTTTGTTTTGTTTTTGTTTGGTTTGGTTTTTTGTTTGTTTGTTTTTGTTGGTTTGGTTTTTGTT